AGAGGCATTCGCCGGGCCAGGTCAACAACGTGTACATCTTCCCTGGCATGTCCTTCGGCGCCATCTGCTGCCAAGCCAAGAGCATCCCCGAGAGGCTCTTCCTGGTGGCCGCAGAGGCGGTGGCGAACAGCCTGAGCCGGGAGGACCTCGACGAGGGCCGAGTGATCCCGCACAGGGACCAGGTGCAGCGCGTGAACCTCCGCGTCGCCGCCGCGGTGGTGCTGGAGGCGCAGCGCCTGTCCCTGGCGCGTCGGAGGCTTGGCACGGACGCGGGTGCCGTGGAGGCCGCGCTGGAGGAGAGGATGTGGAGGCCGGGTGGCCGCTCGCCAGGGGCCTGACGATCGGACCACCAGTTTGTGATCGTGGCCAAAGTCAGAGTGCGCGTCGCAGGGCGGCGAAGCTGGAGGTGCTGACTGGGGCCGCGAGGTCTGTTCGACGGCGAGCGAGGAGGGGAGGTGAGAAGGAGAAGGCCTTCTCAGAGGTTCGGAAGTCCGCCGACCTTCTGAGAAGTGTTCTAAGCCTTCCTCGAAGGCACAGAAAACTTCTCAGAAGGCGCGAGGGCTTCTGAGAAGTCCCGCCGCCTTCTGATAAGACCTTCTCCTTCTCATTTCCCCCCCTCGCTCGCCGCCAACTGTGGCACCGACGTCAGGCTGCACACCGTCAGGTGTCCTGTCGGGGTCTGCCCTCTCACAGGGTCGTTCCCCTTCTTAGGCGCGACAGGGAGGCGCACGTAGCCTCGCAGACACGGGGGCCGTATTTATATACGTGGCTGGGCGAGTACATCTTCTGCGGGCTCTCTACCTCTCTGTCTCTCTCTCTCTCTCTCTCTCTCTTTCTCTCCATGGCTCCTCTCGCTGCTCTCATAAATCCCATTTCCATGCTTGCGAGCCTTGATTGCTCGGTCGTCTGGTTGTTGGGTTCCCTGGTTCCCTTTAGTCCTCAGTCCAACCAGTGAGTTTTTTGGTAGTGGAGCAGGGGTCGTCACTGTGATATCTAGCTCGGCTGCCTCGATGTCGGCACCTCGTCGTGTCACTGTACCTGGCACAGTACACATCCTACTCATATTCGTCCCCTCAGGGGCAATGTCGACGTCGGTGTTGCGAAAGCAGCCAGACAGGTTGGCAGTCGGCATGTGGCATGTAATATAGGGTTTCCGTTGACGATGGTTGCGGCGTGATCTTCACGTTTGTTGAATCGCGTCCCTTGGCAATCCTTGTCAACCGCTGGGCGAGACCCTTTTTCCTCTCGGCAAGAGTCGCGCCGACACCCGCAATAGGTGTGTGTTCGGAAGCTTCGTGCTGGATCGACAGCGGGCTCATTCAGGAGGCCGATACTCGATGTCTTCCCCGAAAAAGTATGGCTCAAATATGACTTGACATGCAGGTAAGTGACGTACCATCGTGGATCTTACTTTTGCGTTTGTTTATTCAACCATGCGATGTACCTTTCCATATCTTGCTATGTGACGTGTGGCCGCGGAAAATCAGCTGATAGCGCCGTTCCGCATTTCCACACGCTCGTTCCACAACTACATGATAAGCTTGAGTTCAATGTGCATTGAATCTAGAGTTGATGCTGCAGTTCAGGCAAACATGAGCCCTTACATGGAAGCGAAAGTTGAAACCACATGCGCGCGAAGCTTAATCTAAACCGACCGCCGCCCTATACAATATTGTACAGCCGCACAGCTCAGGCTCTATTATGCACAGCGCTTGGCGGCACCGCGTCTGGACAGACCGAGGGTTCATGGAGGAGCCGAGGGTATTCGGGTTCTCGTGGACCGACGAGGGGCCGCATGGAGGCCGTCCTGGGCCTGCTGGGCTCTCCGGGGCGGTTTTAGATGTCATCTGGGTCTTCGCAGTTGTTTGATGGCGCCCCCATGGGAGTAAGTTGGGGTTCCTCTGCGCTGCGGGTCCTGATAGTAATCTGCGTGCCCCAAGAGTATACACCACTAACACCTTCATCCTCCTACCCTCCTCTAGCCTCCTCTTCTTTTCCTTTCGTGGGAGAGCGAGGGGGTGAGGGAGGCGGTGATGGTGGTGCACATTGTTGGGCGCTGTGTAACCAGTGGGAGGGGTGCTGGATCGTAGAGGGAGGGCACAGGAAAGTATAGGCTGGATGTGGGATACTCACTGCGTGTTCGGGTGATTCTGCACATTGGTTTTCGGTGGAAGCGGAGGCGGAAGATGGAGAGTGAGGGATGAGACCATGCAATGAGGGCAGAGATTGGAAGAGTGAGGGGGAGGATGAGGAGGACAAGGAGGAGGAGGAGGAGGAGGAGGAGGAGGAGGGAGAGGAGGAGCCGGAGGAGCAGGAAGAGGCGGAGGAGGAGGAGGAGGCTTCGTGGTCACTTGAAGCCGTCATTGGCGGATGTGTGGCCTCTTGGAGGCATGCTCGGGCATATCGAAGACGCGTACGGCGAGCCTCTGCCGCCCCCTGCCTTTTGGAAATGCCGAAGTGGTCAAACGTTGGGCCGAATTCTTGCCAAGCTATTGGGCTGTGGCGTCCCCCCGCCGTTGTACAAACCCTTAGGGGAACAATGGGGAGAGGAAGAGTGAGAGGAGCATCAGAGGGAAGGTAACGAGGAGGAGAAAACAGATGGTGCCTCTTGGGGGCCTGTTGGGACCCTTCTCGGGGCTTCGTGCGGCCACGTGGGGCCTCCGAGGAGCTCCTTGGGGACCCCTGGGGGCCTCTTGGGGGCCTCTTGGGGGCCTCTTGGTCTTCGGATGCCGTCTTGTCGGCCCCTCTGGGCCGTCATGGGGCCATTTTGGGGTGCTTGGGGCACGCCTCTTGGGCCGTATTGGGGCCATGTTGGCCCGTCTGAAGGCCTTCTCGGCCGTCTTAGAGCCATCTTGGATGCCTCTCGGGCCGCCTTTGGCTTTCGGACGCAAGAAAACGAAAACAGCCGCGAATCCTTTATACATCATTTGAAAATCAATGAATTGGTTTCTTCGTGCTCTTGAGGGCCTTTCGGAGCTCTCTTGGGGAGGCTTGGGAGCCTCGTGGGCCTTCTTGAGGCCACCTTGAACCTTCTTTGGTCCATCTTGAGCCGTTTTGGAGGCATCTTGGGGCCATGTTAGGCTCTCTTGGGAGCATATTGGATGTCTTGGAAGCGTTGTTGGACCATCTTGGAGACCACCTTAGGCGAGCTTGCTGTTTGGGAGGTCATCTTGGGCCATCTTGGCCGTCTTGGGGCAATATTCTGGGATTTCGAGGACCTACCGGGTAGCTGGCTCCATGGGCCGAATGCAATTGGGAAGGAACGGAACAAGAAACAATTTAGTAAGACAATCAGCACGCCAAGCATCCTTGTGACAAGCACATGGGGTGGCGGATGACGGAAAGCGCCCTAAGCGTTCTATCCGTTAGTCGGAAGAAAGTGGCGTTTGAGTGGGTTGGCATGTGCGGCCGAATGGGTCGAATGGCCCGAATGACGATTTCTTTGGGGACATCTTCAGCTCATTGAGATGTCTTGGGATCGCTCTTGGAAGGCCTCATGACGGCCCAGTATAGCCCAACAAGATGGCTCTCAACACTCCCTACTGCCGCCCAACATTGCGATTTCACCAGGGACACCCTCACACAAATGAGATGTTACCGACATCGCTCTTTCAAAATGGCGATTTCGCTAGAGACATCTTCACAACATGAGATGTTGGCGACGTCGTCTTGGTCTCGGTCAGGCCCAACCGAAATGGCGATTTCGCGTGGGACATCTTCAACACAAACTATGTTATCAACATCGATTTCGCAGCGCTCTCGGAAGCCCTCAAGGCGGTCCAACAGAGGCCAACAAGACGGACCAAGGGGGCCCCGATATAGCCCCAAGTTGGTCTCGAAGTGGGCTCAAGGCGGTCTAAGATGGCTGCCAAAATGGCGATTTCGCCAGGTGTACCTTCAAACAATGAGATGTTCTCGACCTCGTATTGGTATCGCCCTTTGAAGGCCTGAAGACGGCCCAACAGAGCCTCACAATAATGCCTCAACGACCGCGCAACGCCAGCAGCCCACACCTTCCGACTTTGCTTGGTGCTCTCTCAATGTTCCGGCCAGTAACATTTAGCACGTGATTGCGGTCAGGAGCTTTGGCTTAGCGTGTCGCGCCGCCCGTTTTTGCCCACCACGCTCCGGCGCGACATGCCATTCATTTGTCGGTCCCCAAGTGGCAACGTCCCGAGCCGTTCGAGGCTGTTTGTCCCGCGGAGCGGAGCGACACGCTATCCGCTTTCAGGGGATAGCGTGTCGCCGGGGCCACTGCCGCGACAACCTGAGTATAAAAGTTCTTGGCCGTAGAGCGGCGCGCCGTGCGCCGCGGCAATGGCTTGGGCCGCGCTACTGCTAGGGTTACTTTGGCCACAGGCAGAAGGCGGTAAGGGGGTGGGGGGGAGGCTTCTTAGAAGCACTCCTGGTTCTTAGAAGGCGCGAGCCTGCTTTGTAGATTCAGGGCCGGAGCCTATCAAGAAACAGCCTGCGTCTAAGAAGCCTTTCCCCCTCCCCCTACCCACGCGTGCGTGCCGCCAACAATTGAATTATGACTAGACATAATACTGACAGAAAACGTTGAGCTCTCCACCGCTCAGCGAGGCGTTGGTCGCGCGTGGAGTCGCAGGACAAGCCGTTGCTTGTGTTATCAAGTGCAGCGTCGTCAGCACCAATCGTCATTATCATTATCATCTTCAAGTCTTCGTGATCACATGGCCCGCGAGGGCCCGAAGACGGCCTAGTCAGCATGAGCCAGACTTGTCCCGGATATCTCTGCGCCACCTGGCCGCTGACGCCGAACGCAGATGGAACGTCCAAGCGAGTAAAACGCGACATTCGGACAGCGGTCGGTCCAAATGGGGAAAATACATGGTTCTGGAAAGCGGGCGGTCCAAACGGGGACAGCACGGCAGTCACGGTCCCAGATTGACGTGGTTGTTTTGGGCGCGCGTGAACACGTAAGGCCCGCAGCTTGGCTCAGGGCGCCAGGGCGCCCCGGGCGGGCGGGCTGCGTTGCCATGGCCGGCACGGCCTACAAGGCGCAACGATTTAGTATCGCATCCAGCAACAGCAACGCCTCGCCAGCGGCCAGCTTGAACGCCAGCTTGAACGCCAGCTACACCAGCATCGCCGACGCCTACGCCTTCGACTGGGTCGCCGTGGCCGCACAGCAGAGCTCCGTCGCGGACTCGCCCTGCGACCTCGCGCCGCGCGGCACCAAAGCCATCGCCCTGGACGGGCAGCGGCAGTGTGCGCCACCAGCTTGCCTCCCGCGCGTGCCGACGCCAGTGTGGGCGAAGCCGAAGCGCCAACGGGCCGACTCGCCCATGGAAGCGGCGGGGCCAGACGCCCTGGGCGAAGCAGCCACTGAGCCGGCCAGCCTGCTGCCCTTCAGCGCCGGTGCCTCCGTCGCGGCCGCCGCCGCGGCCTCGCGGGGCGCGGAGCGGCGGCCGCCGTGCAGCGGCGGCCTCGCGTCGCCGCCGCGGCCTCTCGGCGGTGGCGCGGCCGAGGAGCCGACCAGCGCAGAGGGCTCCCCCAGCAGCTCCGCGGGGCGAGGCGGCGAGAGCGAGAGGGCGCTGGCAGAGCTGAGGGAGGCGCAGGCGAGCCGCCGCCTCGAGGTCACCCGCATCGGGGAGGCCCTGCGGCGCCGCGACGAGGAGCTGGGGGCGATGCAGGCCAGCATCTTCGCGGAGGTGCGGCAGGAGCGCGAGGTCTCCTCCCGCCTCAGGGCCGAGGCCGCCGAGGCGGCGGCGGAGCGAGAGGCTGCGGTCCGGCGGCTGCAGGACAGGCACGTAGAGGAGGCTGCGGCCACCGTGCAGACGCAGTCGCGCCACTCCGCCGTGTGCGTGTGTGTGTGTGTGTGTGTGTGTGTGTGTGTTTGTGTGTGTGTGTGTGTTTGTGTGTGTGTGTGTGTGCGTGTGTGTGTGTGTGTGTGTGTGCGTGTGTTTGTGTGTGTGTTTGTGTGTGTGTGTTTGTGTGTGTGCCGCGGCGACGTCGTTCGGCCGGGGAGGGCGCGGCGGAGGGACAGGCGGGAGAGGGTGGTGATGCGGACAAGGGAGAGCGGTGCACGTAAGGAAGAAGGGACAGCGATGCGATGTCGAGGGGGTGTTAGAGGGGGAGACGGGGAAGGGGGGAGGGAGTGAGGCGCAGGGGTAGGGAGGCATTTTAGGAAGGAATGAGCCGAGAGGTAGGCATGCGTGGCGAACCGTGCTCCTCCGTCTTGGCCTCGTAGTTAATTGGCTGGAACCACAAAGTAGTCCGCAGGTATTCCAAGCAGCGGATTTCCCATGGCATGTGAGTGATCGGTTGGGTTATGTCCTCCACGCCCATGTACTCGAAACGCTGGGAAGAACCCTTGGCGCTTCGCGTATATCCACCTGTTGCGCCGCCTGGGCGACCTCTCCCCGCCGTACCTGCGCCGTCCCAGAGCCGGTCGCCGCGCTCGTCCCCACCTGTCGGGATGCTCGGCTTGATCACCTGGTAGCGTTTCCGCGCCTCTGCGTCCCCACCTGCTGGGATGTCTGAGCCGGTCTCTCTTTAATGTGGGTCATTTTGTCCCAGGCACGTGCACACGCCCTTTGGCCTTTGCGCCACTGCGCCCCGAACGTTGCCCCGTTTCTTGACATTAGTCCTGGAGCGGCCGACCAAAAGTATGTCCACCTGCCTGCCCAGAAACGACTCCCAGACGAGTTGGTGCAAGAAGGGAAGTGGAGGAGAACTAGCGAAACAGAGGCGGGAGGGCACCAGCCAAAACAAAGGAGGTGTGAGCCCAAGCGGCCCACTACAGTCGCGATCGTTGAGAGTATTCTGCAGCCTCGTGTGACCGATCATGGGGCTATTCTGGGGCGAGTTGGGAGTCGTTTGGACGTGTTGAGACAGTCCTGGAGGCTGTCGACCTGCGGGGATGGCCAATTCGAGTCGCATCTCTGGAGCCAGAGAATCGCATCTTGTACATTTGGTGGTCTCTTGGGTGCTTCTTGGAACATGTTGGGGCCAACCGAGTATATATATATATATATATATATATATATATGTATTGGAAGCCTTCGCTTTACGGGTTCCATTGGGCCACCTTGCTGCCTCACGAAGGCCTCTAGGGCTCATTTGTGAGAGCGAAGCAATGAAATCGTAAACTTTGATCACCGATATGATAATGCGGGAGCGTCCTTCGAAGGCTTTGGTACCATCGTGGAGGCATCTAGAGGTGGCAATTCAGGCAATGGGGGATGCCATGCTGAGCAAGCTTGGACACGCTTGGAGGCCAGCCTCGAATATGCTGGGCTAGGTTGATGCGCTATTGGGCCAAGTTGGGAGCCCGGCAGGCCTAAGATAATAATTCTTCACGTTTCGCGTATCCCCACCAGCTTCTAATTTGCTGGTCGCCACCGGGATTTCCAACGCCACCGGGTTTGGGAGGGCCGGTTCTGGCTCTCCTTCTGAGTGGCTGCCCGTTCGCTCGCTTCGCTTGCCTTTCTTTTCCTGCTGCCTGGTCGCGGCCCGACTAGTGTTCGGACGGCTTTCGACCCGCCTCGCGAGCCTGTTGACCAAGAATATCCCCACCAACCCATCCGGAAACCTTGCCCATAAGAGGTGACGGGAAAAAAAACGAGGAGACACATATAGTGAAACAGAGCGGGCAACCAGGGTGAACAGAGAGATCTCTGGGAGCAAGGGGGTGGCCTGGGAGGGCCTCTTCGGGCCATCCTTGGGACTCGCATGGGGGCGAGGGAAGGAGGAGGAGGAGGAGGAGGAGGAGGAGGAGGAGGAGGAGGAGGAAGAAGGAGCCGACGACGACGACCACCAAGACGACGAGGGAGAGGAGGAAAAGGAAAAGGAAGACGATGAGGGCGAGGACGAGGACGAGGACGAGGACGAGGAGCAGGAGGAGGACAGCGAGGACGAGGACAGAGCACTCAAAATCGCCTTTTGTAGCCCTCGTGGGATTGTTTTGGGTGGTACTGGGGTCCTCTTGGGGCTCCTTTGGGAAGTCTTGGGGCCCTCGTGGGGGCTCTCTTGGGGCGTTCTTGGGGGCCTGTTGGAAGCCCTGGAGCCCTGGAGGGCCTCTTGGGGCATCGTGGAGGGCTCTCTTTGGGCGTTCTTGGGGGCCTGAAAAGAGAGGGGGGTCGTAACGTTTGGTCCCCCCCTGGGGCCATCAAAATCGCCGCTGGCCCTCTTGGGGCGCTCTTGGGGCGCTCTTGGGGCCGCCTGGGCCCCCTCTTGGGCCATCATGCAGCCATATTGAGGCCCCCAAGGCGCGTCGGGAGCGAAAATGCGAGAGGTAAACAACCAGTGATGTTCCATAGTTGTTGACGGAAGTTGGGTTTCTCGGGGGGGTCCTGATGTGGTGCTCCGACAGCACTTTGAACCGTCTTGTGGCCCTCGTCTGGCCTCTTGGAGGTATGAGGGAAGCTATATCGAACCACCGTTGGCGATCTTGAGTCATCTTGCGGGCCATTTTGGAGCATCGGATGCCCTCTTGGGGCTATGTCGGGGGCCTGCTAGGAGCCTTGGAGGGCCTCTTAGGGGCTATCGTGGAGGGCGTCGGTGAAAAGAGAGGGGGTCGTAATGTTTGGTGCCCCCCCCCCTAAGGCCAACGACATCGCCTCTTGGGGGTGCGTTCTTGGGTGGGGCCGTATGGGGGGGCCTCTTGGGCCCCTCCGGGGCCTCTGTTGGTCCATCTTGGGGCCACCTTGAGGCCTCAAAAGCGCATCGGAAGCGAAAAGGCGAGACGTCTAAACTCATTGATTCCTCTCGCTTCGCAGGGTGCACGTCTGGAGTACGTACAGCCAAGTCGTTTGGGGGGTTCTCGGGAGTCTCTTGGGAACTTTTTTGGGGCCTCTCTGGCCTTCTTGGGAGCGTCTTGAGCCGTATTGGGCGCTGTTGCGCCGTTTGGCCCATGCGGAGGCCGTATTGGGGGCCTCTCTTGGGGTCCTCTTGGGCCGTCTCGGGGGCCCCTTGGGCCGTCTTGGGGACCTCTTTGGGCCGTCTCGGGGGGCTCTCTGGGGCAGTCTTGGGGTCCCTTCGGGCGTTTCTTGAGCCGTCATGGGGCGATTTTGGAGGCTGCTTGGGTCGTCAGGGGTCGAAAAAAGGCGAGAACGCGAACATCGTTTAAAACCCCTTCGGAAAATCAATGATTTGGGCTTGCGGAGGCGCTAGTGGGGCTCCTCTGGGGGCCGTCTTGGGCGCTTCTTGGGCTCTCTTGGGGCCATCTTTGGCCGTCTCGGGGCCGTCGTCCGCCGTCTAGAGCCCATCGTGAGCCATTTGATGTCCTTTTGGGCACCCGGGAGGGCCGCGGGGCCCAAGTCATAGATTTTCCATTGGTTTGGGGAGTTTTTGAAGCTCACAAGGAGTCCACCATCTTTGGGTCGGTGGATGTGGTGTGGATCCTGGGGGGGTCGGGGGGGAGGCATTAGAATGTAACACATTATGATATGTAGCAAGTACGCAATCATCGGATACATGGGATACGTTGCATTGGGGTATTCGCCGGAAACGCTGCCGCTCAGCACGTCACCGCCAGACGGGGATTCCTCTCGCTTCGCGGGGTGCACGTCCAGAGTACGTACAGTCAAGTCGTCTTGGGGACTTTCTTGGGGCCTCTTTGGCCTTCTTGGGGGCGTCTTGAGCTGTATTGGGAGCTGTTGCGCTTTTGGCTTCTTCTGGTACTCCGCCTGCCTTGAGCCATTCCTGCTCTTCAGCAGTGAGTTCTGGTAGTTCTGTCTCCTCAGGCTGTGTGTGCACATCTGCTTCTCCTGGTGCTCCTGGTGCTCCAGCGCCCCTGCCTGCCCCAGGTGCCCGAGGCAGATTATCACCACCTGCAGCAGCCATGTCCACGTCCTCCTGCTTCGCATTGGCCATGACTTTGCCGAGCAGGTCGAAAACCTGCTGGTACTCCTCCTTTGTGACTCCGCTGCCGTCGATCGCGCTTTCGAACTACTTCTGCATGGCCGTGAGGAACTCAGGCGACTCACGTACGCCGCAGTCCTGCACCTTGAGCTCCTGCTCCCTGGCCCTCGCAATCTGCAGCTGCTCCTTTTTCTTCTCGTGCTTAGCACGCGCCTCCTCCAGCTTCTGCTCGTACCAGCATACGTCTTTGGCACTCGCCTCGATCTCTCTCTCCAACTTCTCCCTGGCGTACTTTGCCTGCGTGGGCTGCACGGAGTGCGGCTTGGCATTGTCCTTCTCAGCCCTGGCCGCCTGGTACTTAGCAAACGCTGCGTTATACTCCTCTGAGTCCTCGCCCCACTCGTTCTTGCACGCCTGCGCCCACTTGTGCAGCCTCGCAAGGTCGACCTGCGGTGCATCCTTCTCTCCGTCCGCCTTCTCATACTTGCCGACCTTGCCGCAGCCCTTGAGCGCCGTGAGCTCTTGCGTCCAGCTTCTTCTGCGTCGCCACTTCCCGCTTGGTCGGGCCCAGCAGCGCTTCCTTGAAGGTGGTTGGCCGCCGTGGCGCTGGTGTTCCACGCCCACGACAGTGCTTCCTCGTCGCGTAGTTGTCGGCCGTCCCGCAGCTGCAGGACCACGTGCCCTTCCCGCTGCATCCGCCGCGCCACGGAGACCCCCCAGCCGCCATGACACGCACTCATGCACGGGTACCGTACGTGGAAGGGGCGCTGCCCCCGAAATCTCCTGATCTGTCCGCGGCCCAGCGGTATCCATTGGACACCGCGGGGGCAGAGGCATCTTGAGCCAAAATGGCTACGGTTGGGGCCTCTTGGGTCCTCGCGAGGGCGTCTGTGAGGCCTCTTGGGGGCCTCTGGGATGCCTCTTGGGGGCCTCTCGGAGCCCCGTGCGGGCGTCTTGGGAGCGCTCTTGCGCTGTCTGGTCACGTTCGTTTTTAAAGGCTTCCAACTTTCACAATGGATCTTGGGCCGTCTGGACGCCCTCGTGGGGCCCCAAGGGGGCGACGGGGCCCAAATCACAGATTGTCCATAGGTTTTGGTTGGATTCTGTAGGTTTTTGCGGCGCAGGAGGGAGGGGCCACTTTGGGTCGGCGGAAGTGGTGTGGCCCCTGGGGGGGGCTAGGGGGGGGTACATAATAACGCAACACAATACAAAATGTAGCAATTATGCAATCATTGGATACATTGGATACGTTGCATTATAGCCTCCGCGGGCCTGCCTCCGGCAACATGTCACCTCCGGACGTGGGTTCCGCAGGCCTGCGCCACATCCGCCGACCTATTGTCTTAGCATGAGGCCAGAGGGAGGGCGATGTCGACGTCCGACGTTCGCCCGATATTCGAGCGTGAATGCGACCGTGGACCAGTTCGGCGCTCCCGCTACGCATCTTGTGGCCTTCGGTCCATCCCGCTACCGTGCCTGGGTCGTGGGTATGAAGCCTATTGGATGTTCGGTGGGATCTCGTGGGAGGCCTCCCGGGGGCCTCTTGAAGGCAGTTGTGGTACCTCTTGGGGGCCGTTTTGAGGCCTCTCGGGGCCTCTTTTTGGCCTCTTGGGGGCCTCTTGGGGGCTCGGATTTTCTGTTCGTGCTCCCTCTCTTGGGCCCCTCTTGGGCCGTCTTGGGGCGCTCTTGTGCCGTTTTGGGTCCCTCTTGGAGGCCTCTTGGGCCGTCTTGGAGTGGTCTTTGGGGCCTCTTGGGACGTCCTGGAGCGTCGGAAAACCGAAAATGCGAGAACGCCAACGTCCTCCAAACATCTATGGTAAATCAATGATTTTTGCCTTTAGGGGCCCTCTTGGGAGGCATCTTACAGACCTCTTGGGGCGTCTTGGAGGCCTCTTAGGCTATCTTGAGGCCGTCTGGGGCGTCTTGGAACGATCTTTCGGCGACTCGGACGGGGCCCTCTTGGACTGTCTTGCGGGCCCCTTGGGAGGCCTCAGAGGCTGTCTTGGGGCTTCACAGCCCCAAGACAGCCTCTGAGGGAGGCGTGGGTCCCCCCGGATGAGTTCGGCCCTGGGGTCCCGAGACCATGTGGAACCGTCTTGTGGCCTTCGTCGGGCCTCTTCGAGGTATGGGGAGGCTGTGTCGAACCATCGTCGGCTATCTTGAGCCATCTTGCGGGCCACTTCGGAGCATCGGAGGCCCTCTTGCAGCCATCTTGGGGCTCTTTTGGGGGATCTCTTTTGGGGGGCCCTCTTACGGCCCTCTTGGATCCTTCTTGGGGGTCCCTTGGGAGCCCTGGGGGGTCCTCTTGAGGGGAGGTACACCTCCCAGAAGGGAAGAGGTTCTTCGAAGAGGAAAGACAGATATTGCTAGGTCACCTTAGCTCAAAGGGCTGGTCGAATTTCCGAGAGCCCGTCGGGCTTCGGAAGTGCGTCGGGGAGCTCGTGAGTCCACTTCTCCCCCAGTCCCTCCGCTCAACCTGATTGTTCCGACACCTGAGGACAGGGAGTCCTTTTCCACCCCCTTCCCCCCTCTCTTCCATTCATTTTTCTTTTCCCCAAACTCCATATTTTTGTGTTATTGTTCCTCCGCTTCTTCTTCTCATTTTTCTGCGTCTTCTTCTTATTATTATTATTATTCCACGTCTTCTCATGAATATTATGTCCTTCCTTCCTCGCGTTCCTCGCTGTTGCCGCGGGGAGAGCAGAACATCTTGCTCGGAAAACATATCTGCATGAACGGCCTCGCGGGCGGGGCCCCTGGACCGCAACCTGTGGATTCGGGGCACGTTTTTGCGCATGCCCCGCGCCCAACGTATCCATGCGACCTCGTATCCACGCGGTCGCACCCCAGAGTCCCGGGGGCGCCGCCAGTGGGGCCCAGGGCCGATCCAAGAAGTCCGCGCGGACCTCCGAGAGATCATGTTTGTGCCGTTTTCTGCTCCCCCACTCTTGGGGGTCGACGTTCGATCCATTTCCTTGCTGCTACCCCCGTCCTGGCTGCCAGGGCGGGCAGGGCATGGATAAAGCAACTCGGCCTCCGCAGGCTGGACTTTATGTCCGTGCCCCCGCTCCGCCCCCTCGTGGAGTTCTGGCGTGAGCAGGGGCGTGGGAAAGAAGTCGATGACCTACAGTGAAGGGCCATGCCGAGAAACACCCTGCTTGCCTCCAGGCTGCCCTGGGTTTCTTGGGTTTCGATGGTTTTGCAATGGAGAGCATGACGTGCCCACACCAAAAATCAGTGGACGCCCTGGGTCTCAGGGTTGGGTTTCTTGTGGAAGGTTTCTTGTGGTCGAGCCCCTACTGTACACCCTTTTTTCCGAGCATCCCGCCCTCCACGAGGGCAGTAGTTGTCGAGCCTCGTCCGGAGGAAACAATCGTCGGGAGTCCAAGGCCCGGCCCACCTCTGCCGACGGTACCATCCAGCCAAACAGGCACCAGAGCACCCTTCGGCGCGCACGTTGCTCTTGGACGCCCGAGTTATCCGGGATAACCGCTGTGCTGGGAAATTCCGGTTTGGGCCCCCGAGGCGCGAGTCTGTGGTTACGCCTGGTTGCCCCCAGCCCTGATGATCCGGGAGGGTTGGACGCCCGAGTTATCCTGGATAGCTGCGGTCTGGGGTAACTCCAGCTTGGGCCCCCTTGACCGCCCGTAGCCCTGAGGACTCGGGGCTCTGATGCTTGTCGCCGATCGCCCACACCCTGGCGAGACCACCCCACACGCCTTCCCGCCCCCATTAAGAGAGGGGGCCGCAGACCAGGGCCCTGGAAGAGCAGCGCGAGGCGGCCCGGCGAGCCGCGGCGGAGGCAGAGCGCCGCCACACGGAGGCCCTGGCGGAGCGGGACGCGAGGATCGCCTCCCTCCCTTCCTCCCTCCTCCTCCCTCCTCCCTCCTCCCTCCCCTCCCCTCCCCTCCATAATTACTTAATATGAAAATACTCTCCCTCTTCCCCTGATGGCGTCCGGGTGATGGCCGCGCACCCTCCGCGCACTGTTTTTTTACACACAGGATGCCCGGGAAATCCCGGGAAACGACTCTCGCTGAGGCGCCGGCGTCATTTTTTCCCAAAATGCTGCTCTCGTTGAGGCGCCGGCCTCATTTCTGCTCCCGAATCGTTCCGAATCGTGCTCCCGCTGCAGCGTGGGCCTCATTTTCGGATCGGTGTTTGGCCTCCGTCGTTCAGGATGGCGTTCTCGCCCCAGCGCGGGCCTTTTCTCGCGCGCCCATCCGCCCGCCACCACCGCGCCGCACCGCCACCACCACCACCACCACCACCACCCACCACCACCACCCACCACCACCACACCACCACCACCACCACACCACCACCACCACACCACCACCACCACCACCACCACCACCACCACCACCACCACCACCACCACCACCACCACCACCACCACCACCACCACCACCACCACCACCACCACCACCACCACCACCACCACCACAACCACGCACACACGCACGCACGCACGCACGTGCACCACCACCCACTACGCACGCGCGCGCGGAGCCACAGGTCCGCTACGACACGCGTCCGCGGATAGAGAAAATCAGCGCCATGGTAAGGGATGGGAGGGAGGGGTAGGACGTCAGATATGACGCGAGCGCACCTAGCTTGCCTCCCTCCCCTCCCTCCTCTCCATCCCCTCCCTCCCCTATCCTCCTCCTCCTCCTCCTCCTCCTCCTCCTGCTCCTCCTCCGCAGAGAGCACTCGCCCGATCCCTCTCCTCCTCCTTGTTCCCTGACTCTATCCCCTCACTTCTCGGCCGCCGTCTCCAGAGCTGGCTCGATGGCCGTGCTCCTGAGGAGCCGATCCGGATCATGGACATACTGGAACCTAATCTGCAGAGTTTCTCAGTGCCTCCGCTCCCAGAGCTGGCCCAGAGGTGGGCTGCGCTTCGCCAGATTCTGGAACGCACTCCTCCGTCTTGGGCCTGGGCTCACATCAAGACACTGGCAGGCGGCTGGACGACGTCGGCTCGTATCCCCAGCGCCCAGTCTCGTCGATGTCTTTTCGGATGTACAGACCCCGACTCCATGCCTCATTATCTCTCTTGCCCTCGCCTGCTCCACCTCCTCGCTTTCCCTCGTGGCCATCTTCCTGCCTGCCCCCTCACTCGTCTTGGCCTCGGCCCCTCCCCGGACATGGAGTCTGAATACCCACGCCATC